TCGCTCCTCCTTCAGTTGCTGCTGGACACGCAGTATCTCTTTGTCTTGCTGCTCGCGTTGCTGCTGCTGCTGCTGCTGCTGCTGCTGCACCGCCTGCATCAGCTGCTGCAGCTCACGCTGTGCGAAGTCTAGGGCCTCGTCTTTCTGCTTCAGCTGCTGCTGCTGCTGTTGCTGCTGCTGCTGCAGCCGCCTTATCTCCTCTTGCTGCTGCCGCTCTGCAGCAGCTGCTGCATCCCTCGCCCCCTCAACTTCTTCTCGGTACCGCCGATGCCACTCTATTGCCCTGTCCCCAGCAGCAGCAGCAGCAGCAGCAGCAACAGCAGCAGCAGCAGCAGCAGCACCAACAGCAGCAGCAGCAGCAGCAACAGCAGCAGCAGCAGCAACAGCAGCAGCAGCAGGAGGAGGGGTAGAAAGAGCGAGGGTAATGACAAGGGGGCCCAGCTGCCTCCACTGTTCAAGGGAGCGGGCTAGGGTTTAGGGTTTAGTGTTTTAGGGTTTAGGGTTTAGGGTTTAGGGTTTGGGGGCCTCACCGCTCTGCGTAGTCTTCTACCTTTCTCTCGAGCTCCTTCTCTCGTCGTCTTGCTGTTATGTTTGCCTCTTGCAGCATCTCTTCCTTCTGCAGCAGCAGCTGCTGCTGCTGCTGCAGCTGCTCTTCTTGCTGCTGCAGCACTCGCGCATGCACTGCTGCAGCTTGTTTTGCTTCTCTGGCCTGAGCTTCTGCTGCTTGCTGCGCTGCAGCAGCAGCAGCAGCAGCTGCTTTCAACGACTGCAGCTCTGCAGCAGATGGCTGTTGCTGCTGCAGTGGCTGCTGCAGTTGCTGCTGCTGCTGCAGTTGCTGCTGCTGCTGCTGCAGCTGCTGCTGCAGCAGATCTCGTTCACACCGCAGCTCTCGCAGCTTCTCCCTCGGCGTCCATGTAGTTTGAATATCNGCTGCAGCAGATCTCGTTCACACCGCAGCTCTCGCAGCTTCTCCCTCGGCGTCCATGTAGTTTGAATATCCTGGAGTTGCTGCTGCAGTCTGTTGATGCGCTGCAGCAGCAGCTGCTGCTGCTGCTGGTGTTCTGTGTTTTTAGCTTCTGCTGCAGCAACAGCCTGCTGCAGCTGCTGCTTGTCTTGCTGCAGCAGCCGTGTCTCCTCCACCGCCCGCTGCAGCTTATTTGTTACTCTGTGTAGAGACAGCTCAAATTCATTTTCTTCTTTTGCTGCTAGCTGCAGCACCTTATTTAGTTCTGTGTTTTTTCGGTTCGCTTGTCTCAGAGCTTGCTGCAGCTGCTGCAGTTGCTGCTGCTGCTGCTGCTGCTGCTCCTTCTGCTGCTGAATCTCCTTCTCGTGGTCCTTCTTCTGCTGCTGCAGCTTCTCTAGAGTCTGCTGCAGCAGCAGCTGCTGCTGCTGCTGCTGCCGTTTTGCTGCTTCCTTTACCTCCGTTAAGGAGGCGCTGAATGCGGTCTCCAGCTGCTGCAGCTGCTGCTGATGTCTGCGTCGCTGCTGCTGCATGTCTTGCTGCTGCTGCTGCTGCTGTTCCTTCGCGCTGCGCTCGTGTCTATCCCGCAGCAGCAGCTGCTGCCTGTTTGCTGCTGCAAGCTCATCCTGCTGCAGTGCTGTCTCCTCCTGCAGCTCCTGCACGCGGCTCCATGCTTCGTCTCTCTCCTGTTGTAGCTGCTGCAGCTGCTGCTGCAGCTGCTGCAGCAGCTGCTGCTGCTGCGCTTTAAGTTCTTCTGCTTCTGCCTGCTGTTCTTGCTGCTGCAGCCGTTGCTGCTGCTGCTGCTGCTGGTGATGCTGCAGCAGCTGACGCAGCTCCTCCACCTCATCAGAATAGGCAGCAAGCTGACGCTTCAAGTGCTCCAGTGCCTCTTGCTGCTGCTGCTGCTGCTGCTGCTGCTGCTGCAGGCTAGACTCCTGCGGTAGTGCCGCACAGTCTGTCTCCACTTCTGCTGCTCCCACTGTGTCCGCTGCTGCTGCTGCTGCTGCTGCTGCCGCTACTGCTGCGGTTGCTGCTGCTGCTGTTGCTGCTGCTGCTGTTGCTGCTGGTCTGCCGTTGGATTTGGGGCTTCTGGGTGCATCAACAGCAGCAGCAGCAGTTTGCTGCTGCTGCAGTTTAGCTGCTTCACACAGCAACTGCAGCGGGCCTCGCTGCTGCTGCTGCTGCTGCTGCTGCTGTGCAGCTTGCTGCTGCTGCGGCTGCTGCTGCGCAGCCTGCTGCTGCAGCAGCTGTAAGGCGAGGCGAGCGACCTCCAGAGCGTCGCCGGCTCCACCTCTGAAGCAAGGACAGTTGCTGCTGCTGCTGCTGCTGCTGCTGCTGCTGTTGCTTTCGCTGCTGCTGCTGCTATTGCTGCTGCTGCTGTTGCTGCTGCTGCTGCTGCTAGAGCTGCTACTGCTGCTGCTGCGAGGCGAGCAGCACGATTCGGCGCCCCCTTTGAGGCCCTCTGACTCCTTGCTATTTTCATTTGCTGTTGCTGCTGGTGCTGCTTCCACTCCTGCTGCTGCTGGTGCTGCTGCTGCTGCTGTTGCTGCTTGTGTTGCTGCTGCTTCTGCTGCTGCAGTGTCTTGCTGCTCTCCCGCGGCTTGAGCCTCGGCAGCAGAAGCAGCAGCTGCATCTGCATCTGCTGCTGTTGCTGCTGCTGCTGTTGGCGCTGCTGCTGCTGCTGCTGCTGCTGCTGCTGCTGGAAAGGGAGGATCCGGGAGAGCAGCAAGACACTGCAGCAGCTCCATTGCTGTTATCGCATGCAGTGCTGCATGCGACTCCTCTGGCAGCTGCTGCAGCGTCGACAGCAGCAAAGAGGAGTTGCTGCTTTCTCCATTTGCTGCTGCTGCTGCTGCTGC